GTCTGGGATTTTTGGTGGCTTTTTCCTTTTTTTAACAGACGATGACAGCTGTGTGCATGGTGGATGATCCCAGGGCTACCGAAGGGGGCACGGGAGGGCAGGTCTTCCTCTCCCCTCCCCCAGGGCCTTTCCCGAGAAGACCTGTGCAGCACAGAGGTCTCCACATGAGATTATATCTTCCCTCCTATCGGGGAGTGAAGGCATCCTGGCATTTGTGGAATGATAAAGATGGTTGGTGATGGCTTTGCTTTTAACATCCCATCTGGAGAAAGGAAGAAAGTAAAAAAAATAATAATAATAATAAAAAGGAAGGAAGGCAGGGAGGCAGGAAAGAGAAAAGTCACCTCCATCTTCATTCTCTAAATACATAACTATTTTTTTAATATACTTATTGATTTCAGTGGGGAGGGGAGAGGGAGAGAGACAGAGAAACATCAATGATGAGAATCATTGATGGGCTGCCTGCCTCCTGCATGACCCACCCTGGGGATCCAGCCCACAACCCGGGCATGTGCCCTGACCAGGAATGGAAGTGTGACCTCCTGGTTCATAGGTCCACGCTCAACCACTGAGCCACACCAGCCGGGCTAAATATGTTTTAATGAGATGACCAGGTAGCTCTTGGCTTGGGGCAGAGATCTGAGTTCTCTGCTCTGTCCCTTTGGAAGTGGGCAGCTCGGGACAAGTCCCTGACCAGGGGGCGGGCCTCAGCAGCTGCCCAGGGAAAGGTGCCACGGATGGGCTGTGTTCCGGGGAGAGAGAGGGGTGGCAGGAGGCTGGAAGAGCAGGTTTGCCAGATAGAGGACACCCTCCAGAGCCAAGGCACAGAGGTGGGGGAATGTAGCCACCAGCTGGGAGGGGGGTGGAACGGGGCAGGCCCGATGAGGGGCCCCTGAGCACCCCGCAGAGGAGAGAGAAGAGCTGACCCACACGCAGGGCCCGGAGAGATGTGAATGCACTTGCAAGGGCACGTGGCCCCCGGAAGTCTGCAGGGCACTGTTTCAGTCCCGGGGAGGCCTCCTGACAGCGCTTATCGAGGAGCGGAGCGGCTGCTGTCCCCCGCCTGGGCCCCGCGCCCGCAGCCCCCGCTGGGGCGCTGTCAGAGCGCTATCTGGGGGAAGCAGGAGCAGCCGGGAGAGTAAATTTAGTTTAATTTAAACAGCAACTTCCCAGTGCCCGGCGGGGGGCAGGGGGCTGGGGATTACTCAGCCGCAGGAGGGAAGTGACTCGGTTCACCCAGGAAACGGGCACCTGTCTAGGCTTCCAGAATGCCTCACGGCAGCGAGGAAAGGAGTCGGCTGGCCATTCAACTACAAAGTCAGTGGAAGTAAATACAGCACCAGGAGCTCCTCTGCCCCAGTCTACAGGCCGCCCGGTGCTCAGCGCTGACACCCGGACTCCGCTGGCTGTGTGCTGACCACGCCCCAATCAAACAACGCCCCGCCCCGTCCCAGCCAGCCTCTCGCTGCCCCTGCCCCACCCACGCTCCCTGAACCCAAGACCAGGGCCTCCCTAACCCCAAGCCCAGGGCCAGGGCCTCCCTGAACCCCAAGCCCAGGGCCAGGGCCTCCCTGAACCCCAAGCCCAGGGCCAGGCCGTTCTGCAGGGAGAGTGTCCCAGTTGCCAAGACTGCTCTGCTGCTGGGTTGTTAAAACAAAGGCATTAAAATTGCTATGTCAACTGTCATCTTTAAATAAAAACTTAAGCCCAGCAATAAATCTGTATTTGGACCCGAAAGTTTAATGGGATAATGCAATACAGGACCGAGGGAGGGCTGCTGAGAGGCTTGGCTGGCAGATGGGGATCCTGCCCGCCCCTTGGGAGATCCTCCTGTCCCCCAGACTCGGTCAGGTCACAGGGCTGTGGCTTTGGTCTTGGCTTTGCTTTTCAACTAAGCAGCATCACAGCTGCCATCAACAGTGCAGGTGGCTGCGGGAGGCGGGGGGGCAGAATCCTTCGGGGGGGTGTTCACACTTTCAGGGACATGAGAAGCACGGGGGGGGGGGGGGGGGGGGGGGGCTGTGGGCATGGGGCCACTCTCCCTCCAGCCTCGGTCCCCAGCACTGGATGGGAGGGTCTGGTGAGAGCTCCCTCCCCCTCCACCCCCGTGTGGCTGTGGAGCACATTCTGAGAAACCTCAGGGAGGAGAACAAGGGAATCCCACCTGAAACCTCAGAATTGGGGGCCGGGAACGCCAAACCCTCCGCTTAAAGACAGCGTCTGCAGTAAGAGAAGCAGGAAGGGTCCAGAGTAAAAGGCGCTGGGAGACGGGGCTGCAGCCAGGTCCAAATCAGGGGTCCTGCAGGGGTGGGCCCTGTTTTTGTGGGGCCACTTTAAGAAAATTAATTCAGCCCTCGCTGGTTTGGGTTAGTATAGACTCTATAGAGCATCGGCCTGCAGACTGAAGGGGTCCTGGGTTCCATGCCTGTCAAGGGCCCATGCCCGGGTTGCAGGCTCCACCCCCAGTGTGGGGCATGCAGGAGGCCGCTGACCAATGATTCTTTCTCATCATGGATGTCTCTATCTCTCGCTCCCTCCCCCTTCCTCTCTGAAATCAATAAAAATATATATTGAAAAAAAGATTTTAAAGAACCACACACACAAAATCAATACAGGGTCCCGTGGTACCTTTGCCTCGGGGCCCACATGCCCCCTTTCTGACTGGCTCCTTCTTTTGCTGGGTGAGACCCAACTGGCAGAACCTGATTTGTCCTTTCCCGTCAGGGGGACAGACTTGAAACCTAAACATCGTAAGGAAACCCAGCCCTTGGACGCCAGGCAGCCAATTCCAAATCACGATCTTTTAGCTACTGACCTCCCTACCAGCCACCTACCCTCATTCTATCCGGCTCCAAACGCCTTGTCCTGAAAGAGGCACATTCCACTGGTGTCCCTGAAACTGCCCCCAGTCTTTCTGGGGTGCAACCTGCCCACCTGCAACAGTACCCTAAAACCGTATCTGGGCCATAACTCCGTCATTCTGTTTGGAAGACTTCAAACCCAAAATGATCCAAAGCCACCTGAGCAGGGATGTTCGCAGCAGCTCTGTTGTAAGAGGGGGGGGGGGGGGGGGGGAGCCAACCACACGTGAGTACTTATTATGCGCCAGGCATTGCCCTAAGGGCTTCATATGCGTTGGTGCATTTAACCCCACAGCTCTATGAAGCCCACTTTACAGATGGGGAAATCGATGCAGAGGCGTATCGGCAAACGAGGGGGTGGAGGGGAAGAGACTTGATTGTTAGCATTTGCCCATTTCCATGATGTAAATATCCAATAGCAGCCCATTTCAAGCTACGTATGGATTGGCAACCAGCTCCCCAATTTCCCAACAATTTAGCAGCTGGCTCAGGGGTCACTAACTGGTCATCAGGGTGGGAGCCAGGAGTTTAACTCTAGAGTACAGCCTCCGGGGGCTGCTCTACACGTCTGTGAACGTCCGGCAGGAGGGAACGGCTAAACGGAACACACATACGGAACTGCTTTGGCCCGCAGTCCATACGACCATATTTCCATGACCACTGACACTCACACATGCGCCTTACAATAACCCTGTGGTGTTCTACTTCATTAGGGTTGTCCTGAATATTAAATGCAATGATCTGCATAACCAGACGAAATCAGCTCCAATTAAATGCTCAAAAAGGGGAAATTCCCGGCTGGTGTTGCTCAGTGGTTGAACGACAACCTATGAACCAAAAGGTCATGGTTGGATTCCTGGTCAAGGCCCATGCCAGGGTTGCAGGTTCGATCCCCAGTTAGAGGCAAGCAGGAGGCAGCCGATTCGCTCTCATCATTGATGTTTCTCTCTCTCTCCCTCTCTGAAATCAATTTTAAAAAAGAAATGTTTGTTTGTTTTTTAAAAGGTAGCTATGATTATTCCACCTTGTAGATCCTTATCTGCATAGACAGACAGGTTCCCCGGCTCCTACGTGGTGGAGATAGGATTCAGGACCCAGCCAGTCCGGATCCAGGCCATCCCCTAACCACAACGTCCCCCATAAAGTGATCTGAGGTGGAAAGAGGGTGGGGACCATGTACAGACTCAAGTTATTCTGGAAGTGGGAGGCAGCAGGAACGCCACTGAACTCCTGAGCCAGGCACACCTGGATTCTTCATCACCAGTTACCCCACAGCTCCTGCCTCGGCTCCCTGGGCTGCGGAGTGGCCCGGACCAGGGGTATCTCACCGGGTGGTCCTAGAGGTGACGGGCAGTTCACAGAGCAGGGTGGACACGGGCCTGGACCCACATGGAGCACCCAAAGGGGCGTAGCTATTACTACAAACAAAAAAGGTGGAATCGAGGACAGGTTTCCTCTTCACGGTGGGAGTTTGGTTGATTGGTTGGTTGGTTGGTTAGTTGGTTGGTTGGTTGGTTGGTTGGGGTTTATTGTCCTATCAGCTTGCCCCAAATTGTAGCTCAGGCTGGTCCAGAGTGACAGCCAAGACGAAACCCTTTGTACCTAATGTCAGCGCTTCCCTGATAGAAACGACAGCGGGGTCCTCTCCGCCCACCCTCATAGTCACGGTGTCCCCACGTTTTGGCTGCAGGTTCGGGGCTGAAGGCGCCCGGCTGCCCCCTCGGAAGCCGGAGGCCAGGTCCCGCCGCCCCCTGGGCGCCCAGCGGGCACCCCGGCCCCGGCGCCCGCGGCGCAGACAGGCGGCTCCGGAGCGGGGACCCAGCGGCCTCCGGAGCCCACACGACATGCAAAGTTTGGGGGGTTCCGCATCTCCTCTGCCCCCATCACTGAAAAGAAGACGCTCCGGTTCCTCCTTCCGCCAAACTTCCTCCCGAAGCCTCCCGGGCGGGCTCCGCGCTCCCGCCGCCCCGGAGCCGCCGCTGGAGCAGCTGGAGCAGCTGGAGCCGCGGAGCCGCCGGGAGCGCCCGGCCGCGCCCCAGTCCGGGCGGGAGGGCAGGATGCTCGGCGGCTCCTCGCGGCTCCCGGGGGCGCCCCGATCCCCAGCCCGCGGCCCCGGGGGCGCCCCGGTCCCCCGCTTACCTGACGGCGGCCGCTTCCTGCTCAGCCGGCTCACCGCGCGGTTGAACATCTCCGCGGGCGCCCGGCGAGGAAGGGGGAGCGGCCCGGCCGCGCGGCGGCTGAGCGGGAGGAAGGCGAGGAGGAGGAGGAGGAGGAGAGAGGAGGGAGGAGGAGGAGGCCGAGGAGGACGAGGAGGAGGAGGCCGAGGAGAGGAGGAGCCGGCTCCGCGCCGCCCCGCCGCCCTCCCCACCAGGCGCCGCGTGGCGCGCTCGGGGTGCCCTGCCAGCCCGCCCCGCGGGGCCTCGCAGTCCCGCCCAGGGGTGCCAGGCGGCCAGGGTGGGCCCGGCCGCCTCCCGACGCTGGGACCCGGCGCCCGGGATGGAGACGCTCGCCCAGCAGGATCCCGCGCCCCCGGCCCCCGCCCCCCCCCCCCCCCCCCCCGGATTTGGGAACCGCGCCCCAGAGGTTCCCGCGTTCCCGGCCCCAGGACTCCGGCGATGCCGCCCCGGCCCCGCCCGTCCGGCTCCCAACTCCAGTCCGTCCCGGGCGCCCTCTTCCTGCGGCCCCGGACACGGCGCGGCGCGCACCTGGCAATCGGCATCCCGCCTGGCGACGCCCAACTTGTCACCCATGTGCCCGCCTCTTTATTTTCCGCGTCAGGGTGGCTGTGTTCTCCGGGGAGGGGCGCTGCAGGAACCCCCCGCGGGTTCCCAGCCCCAGGTTTCCAGACTGGGGTGCCGAGGCCTCGGGGTTCTCCAAACCTGGGTGCGGCCCGTGGCCTCCGCTTCCCCACCCACCCCCGCCGGGGTCCGGGATCTTAGCGCTCCCCCGCGTGCCCACCGGGGCTCTGGGGGCGCTGGGCACACCCGCAGATGCCGGTGGGGCACGGCCAGGGTCCGAGCCGCGGTTCCCCCAAGAGGGACGAGCGGAGCCTCCGCGGGCGGGCGCCCTGGGCGCCACCTGCCCTGGGCCTTCAAGGCTCCGGGGGCGGGTCTGGGGCAATTCTGTGGGAACCCCATGGGCTCCATCGCAGGGTGATGCCTCTCCTGCGCCCGGAGGCTGGCCCGGGACACTCTCTTAACTTCGGGGCCACGTGGCACGCCTTCCGCGCTCCGGCTCTGCTGTTTCCCCTCCCTCGCGCCCCACTCCGATCTATTATCTCGTTTCTTCTGCAAAACACGCCGAGAAGGCATGTCATTAGCCCCGTTTTCTTGAGCGTTTGCTTTGCAAAGAATTGCCTTTCTGGCGAGTCTTATTTTCCTCCTTGTGATCTGGCTTTGTCTCTAAATTGGACTTTATTTTTAGCCGGGCTAATTGCTATTTTTCTAAACCGATCCCCAGTCACTGCCCCCACCCCTTTCACTCCCCCTCCCCTTTCGCAATATTTTCTCTAGTTGGCACTTTCTTTTATATCTTCTATTCTGAGCTTCCCGTTCTGCTCGTTTTTCCGCCCACCCTCTCAGTCCCGGTTCACCCCATCTCTGGCCCCGAGGTTGCGTCTCCTTTCTCTCGCTAGACATCCCCTCACAGCAGTGTCCTCTGGTCTTTCTAAGCACGTTCCCTCTTTGCTCCTGAGAGAGGCTTTTCCGGTCCTGAGAGTTCCAGGGGTTTGGGGCTGCAACTCCACGGTGATTAGGAGAAAGGTTAGAATCCAGCTCAAAAGCTCAAGGTTTTCCTTTAGAACATTTTTATTAAACATTCAGTGCACCCCGAAAAGTTGTTCATATATGCAAAATGTCAAACCATGACAAAGCGAACCTCCCTAAGCCCACCACCCATCGTCGCCAGGGGTACATCTGCCCATAAGGAGGAGAACAGATGGGAGGAGGGCAGAACAGCCCCCTGGAGGCCAGAGCGGTTGGGAGGCTGGGGCAGTCTTGAGCTGGGAGGTGAAGGGTCTGAGGCAGGGCGGGCTCAAGAACTGCTGAGGAGGAAACCTGGGTTCGGTGGGTTGTCACTAGTTGTGTGATCTGGCTACAACCCCATCTCCCCAAGCTCCCGTTTCTGCATCTGCAAAGCAGACTGGTGATAACGGTGGTTATTTGTGTTCCTAGCACCTAGCACCACGCCTGGTAGAAGATGGCACAGAAAACTCGTAGCCGCTGTTGTTACTTCCGTACTGTGCACGCTCGGTAAAGGCCGGCAGAATGAGCATTTTGTCAAACTTGGGGCTGGAACCCTCCGTTTCCTTCCGGGGAGAAAAACGATAAATGATGGGGACGTGCCAGAATCCATGCCCTCACTTCCCGGGACGAGGGGCAGCGCGGGCCGGGGTCAGAGTCTGAGCCCACCCGAGCCCCGGCCCGGCCCCGAACCCCAGCCCCGGCCCGGCCCCGGCCTCGGCCCCGAACCCCAGTCCCTGCCCGGCCCGGCCCCGGCCTCGGCCCCGCCCACGTCCCAGATAGCCCCGCCCCCGACCACGCGTCCCGCCCAGGTCTCAGTTAGCCCCGCCCCCGGCCGCGCGCCACGCCCACGTCTCAGCGAGCTTCCCGCGCGCGCGCCCCGGCCGGCGACTTTCGGGGCTGACGGGCCGGGCGAGCCGCACAGCCTCGCGCTCCGCCGGGCTCCGCCGGGCTCCGGGGTCGCCGGGGCCTCGCCGCCAGGGTGGGGTCCCTGCGGGGCTCCGTCCCCCCACCCCCCCGGAGGCCGGGGACTGAGTGAGTGTCGGCGGGAGCGGGACGGGGCCGCCGGGAGCCCGGAGCTGCGGTTCGGAGCGCGGCCCGCGGTCGGCGGGCGCGGGCGGGCGCGGAGCTCCCCCTCCGCCCAGTGGGAGCGGCGGCGATGCCTCCGCCGCAGGCAGCCGTCTCCCTGCGGTGAGAGGGAGACTCAAACCCGGGCCAGCCCTGGGCCGGCGCGGCGGCCTCTCCCTGGAACGGGGTTTCCCAAACTTCCCTCGGGATGGGAATCCCCTGGTGGGACATAGAGGTGAAACTGTACACTTACCAAGCTTAGAGCGCTGGGTAAGTATGCAATTGTGCCTGTATGTTCCCAGAAACGCTAGCTTGGCACTTCTTAGTTGGGATTCGGGAATCTGTAGTTTAACCACTCCACCAGGTGCTTCTCATCGTGAGAGAAGTTTGGGGAAACACTGGCCCTAGAAGATGACAGGTGACCCTGACCCCGGAAATGAGGCAAGAAGTTAGGCCCCGACCCATGGTATGGAGGTTGCCTGGTCCACCCCCTGCCTTCCTGAAACACTCACACACACACACACACACACACACACACCCTGCCTTCCTGAAACACTCACACACACACACACACACACACACACACCCTGCCTTCCTGAAACACACACACACACACACCCTGCCTTCCTGAAACACTCACACACACACACCCTGCCTTCCTGAAACACTCACACACACACACACACACACACACACCCTGCCTTCCTGAAACACTCACACACACACACACACACACACACCCTGCCTTCCTGAAACACACACACACACACACCCTGCCTTCCTGAAACACTCACACACACACACACACACACACACACACCCTGCCTTCCTGAAACACTCACACACACACACACACACACACACACACCCTGCCTTCCTGAAACACACACACACACACGCGCGCGCACACACACACACACACACCCTGCCTTCCTGAAACACTCACACACACACACACCCTGCCTTCCTGAAACACTCACACACACACACCCTGCCTTCCTGAAACACACACACACACACCCTGCCTTCCTGAAACACACACACACACACACACTGCCTTCCTGAAACACTCACACACACACACACACACTGCCTTCCTGAAACACTCACACACGCACACACACACACTCACACACACACACACACACACACCCTGCCTTCCTGAAACACACACACACACACACACACACACACTCACACACACACTCACACACACACACCCTGCCTTCCTGAAACACTCACACACACACACACACACACACACCCTGCCTTCCTGAAACACACACACACACACCCTGCCTTCCTGAAACACACACACACACACACACACACCCTGCCTTCCTGAAACACTCACACACACACACACACACACACACACACACACACCCTGCCTTCCTGAAACACACACACACACACACCCTGCCTTCCTGAAACACACACACACACACCCTGCCTTCCTGAAACACACACACACACACACACACACCCTGCCTTCCTGAAACTCACACACACACACACACACACACACACACCCTGCCTTCCTGAAACACTCACACACACACACACACACACACACACACACCCTGCCTTCCTGAAACTCACACACACACACACACACACACACACACACCCTGCCTTCCTGAAACTCACACACACACACACACACACACACACACCCTGCCTTCCTGAAACACTCACACACTCACACACACGCGCGCGCACAGCCCTGGTGCGGCCTCGGGCAGGCTTGTGAGTGCTCCCCAGCTCGGAAGGTGGCCAGGACTTTCGGAAATACAGTGAAAACGGAACAGCTTCAGTTCACTCTCGCTGTCCTGTGAGTGTATGGGCACGCACTCTGGTAAAGGTTTAAAACACACAGTTTAAATTTTGCTTCAGGACAGAAAAGTCCGTCCTGAAATCGCTCGTGTCTTGTTTTGTGGGTGAGGACCTGAGAGCCGGCTCCGCAGGTGCGCGGGATGGAGGACAGGCGCCGAGCCGCCCTGTCCAGGTGCAGCCATCAGCGCCGCCTGCGGTTTGCACGCGGCTGCGGCGCCTGCCATCCGGGCAGCGGCGTCCACGTTCTGTGGATCGTCTCAGCCCTTCGCCAACCCTGGGAGTCCTCTGGGCAAAAAGAGAACAGCACGTTGGCCCCTTCCTATCCCTGCTGTTCCCCCTTTGGTTGAGCAAGACCAAGAGGGAGCAAGAGGCCAAGATGTTATAGTAAAGCAGAATGTCCAAGTGATTATTGATTGACCTTAGAGTTTCATATCTTTTTTATCCTACTCAGGAATTTTAAAATACTGGTAAGCTGCAAATACTATCACAGAGTCTCTGAACATATATTTTAGAATCTCTTACAAAGAATATGCTAGGCCATTTGAGGCAGGTGAGATATAGTAAAATAGGTAAGGAAATTATATTTGAGTCGAGCGATTATTTGAGTTGAGGTACTCATCCTGGCCACATAGCAGACCAGCTATGTGTCCCTTAACACAGCCCCCTGGGATTGGACAAGAGAAGGTTGCCACCCACATTCAAGGGTGTGGCATTCACAAGCAATAAACAGAGCATGTGGCACAGTGCCCAGCACATGTAGGCACACAAAAATGTACTCCAATCTCAATTACACCCCCTACAATGTTGTCTCAACAAATAACAAACTTTCGCCTATACACAGTAAAAAGAGACATTTTTTAAAAAGAAACTATCGAAAGTTGGCAGTGTTAGTAGTAGTGATGCGATCGCCAAGCAGAATAAAGAGAGGCAAGTAAACTGTTAGGACTTCTCTGGAAGGCAAGAGAGGCTGGAGTGTCAAGATGCGCTCTTGGTAACAAATGTAAGAGCCTTCAGAATGTTTATATACCCATTGGACCAGTGGATAATTCCACAAATGGTTATGCCAAGGAGAGAAAAGATGCAAAGACTTATGTGCAAAGTTGAACATCACAACACTTCTTTTATCAGTGTATTTATGGTAGTTATTAATGCCCATTAATGAAATGACGAAGTTACAGTAGTATCCTATATAATAAAGAGGTAATATGCAAATTAACCCTCACACCCTCACAAGATGGCTGCCTATGATCAGGCTGGCAGGGGGGTTAGTGAGGGATGACCAAACGACTGAACAAGCAGGCTGTGGGGGGCAACCAGGCCAGAGTGGGAGCAGTCAGGGTGACCAGGCTGGGGGGGAGGGGGTTGGGCGTGCAGTAAGAGGTGACCAGGCCAGTGGGGGGGAGCAGAGGGGCAATCAGGTTGGCACACTGAGGCAGTGAAGGGTGATCAGGCCAGCAGAGGAGGGCAGTTAGGAGTGACCAGGCAGGCAGGCAGGTAAACAATTAGGGGCCAGAGGTTCAGGATTGTGAGAGGGATGTCCAATTGCCACTTTAGTCCCAATCCCCAGCTGTTGGACATCCCCCAAGGGGTCCAGATTGGAGAGGGTGCAGGCTGGACTAAGAGGACCTCCCCCTCCCCACGCAAATGTTGTGCACAGGCCTCTAGTATCCCTATGATGGAATATTGAACAGTTGTAAGAACTGTGTAAAGAATATTTGGTGATGTAGGAACATACATATAATGAAGCTTTCATTGAAAAAAAAAAAAAGCAGGATACAAATATAGAGAAAATTTTCCATCATGGAGAGGAGAAAATGCCAAATGTTACTAAATACAGTAGGAAACTATGCCAATTGTTACTAATAAGGCATACATTTTATTATGCTTTATGGTGCCTCACAGAAGTTGAACTTTTTACAAATAGAAGGCAAGACCCTCTACCAGCAAAAAGATTATGACTCGTTTTATTGCAGTACTCACTTTATTGCAATACTCACTTTATTGCAGTGGTCTGGATCCCACCCACAGCATCTTCGAGGAGGTATTCGTGCATTTTTATCTCTAGATGATGGGATAACAGGTGAGTTTAATTTTCATTGTATTTTCCTGTTTGGCAAAATTTCTGCAATTTTATACCTTTAAATCAGGAGCAGGGGATTCGGTAGTTGGAAACTGGTCAAAATCTCTGCTGGGTCTAATCTATAAATATTTAAGCTCTCGTTTCTACATCAGTTTTGCTCTCTTTAAACTCTGACTTTCCTCTGGGAAAGGCAAGCAGATGCCTGCTTTTCCCACCTTGTATTTCAAGTCACACATTCAGGCCGTATCCCAGCACAGGGATCTTCCGAGGTCAGCTACTCCGCTGCAGGTCAGGAGCTGGAGGCCCAGGTAGCGTGAGGGAGGACAGGCCAGGGCCTGGTGCTCGGTTTCCTGGGTCAGGTCGTCAGCAGGTGGTCTTCCTGGGATAGCACTCCATCCTGTGCCATGCCATGCTGCATCCGTGAAGATACGCCCAAAACGGAAACCTTTATGTATTTTTAGATTATATGGCGATTCCTGCTGAGCAAGGCACATCCATTCTATCAGCATGTGGTCATACTTGCGTGTTCCAGAAAGACATTACAGAGAAAACTGAAGAGGAAACCAAAGATATAATTCAAGAAAATCGCCCAGATTGAGGAGCACATCTCCAGACGGAAAGAGCTCAAGTAGTGGGCACAGTGACAGACCTACACCAGCATGAAATCTCAACACGTAGACAATATCCCTGCAACGTACCAAGAGCACACTGCTGGTGGGAATAGAAAGTGGCACAGCCACTTTGGAAAGCAGTCATATATGACATGATTAAAAGATTCACTTTATAAAGGCAATAGGTTACATTACTAAAACTTATGACCATCATATAATACTTACAAATTTTCATCACCATTTATTAAAAAGAATAGACATTTTGTGAACTAATCACTGTATAAGACAGAACAATTAAAAATTTAAATTGTTTTTAATTCATATTTAAAATGATAACAATTTGATGGTTTTTACTAAAAGTCTTATGGTTATTCATCTATGCTTATAAAACTAACCTCCAAAACTCTAAAATGCTTCTTAAAATCATAAAACCCAACTGAGACATAGAAAGCAATATTGAAAAGAGAGATCATTTATCAAAATGTTCCCATTTCTGATTTCCAGCTACCTTCTACTTCACATCACACCTAAAAGCTATTTTATGTGTTTTCACTTGTGGTTGTAGAAAATATGTGAAAAAAGGTAGTAAACGTATTTTAAAAAATCATCTGACAAAAATGCAGGGACTGCAGAGCATTCCATTCTTGCTTGAATTTTAGCCAGGTGGACACTTTCCTAAAAGTTTGTTTCCTAGGTATACATTGACCAAATTCTCAGAAAACGTACTTTGGCTCAGCTCACAAGTTTGATATTTTTGTCAGGTGTTAAAGGAATATTACATGCAAAGTTTTGTACCATAAAGGCATTTTTTTTAAAAGCTAAAATAATATACAAAGCCATAACTCAGATTTTGAAGATACTTATAGTAAAAAAAAGTGTGTATACACATACGAATAAACGTACATGCCTGCATGTTTATATGAATAAACATACGTGCCGGCATGTGTATGCATATATACATACACATATTTAAATGAGTTTGCAAGCAAACTGAAAAGCCGGGAAGGTGGTTGGCACAGCAGCTGGACAAATGCACTGGAGAGGCAGACAGTCTGCACAACTCCCATCTCTCTGGAGCAGGCATTCATTCCAGAGACCTGGCCATCGTCAGCTCCAACGTTTGAAGCCCAAAGATGTCTCCCTAAAGAGGAATTTCTGGTTATCAGGACCATCAGAGGATCTCTGCTGATGAAGACGGGAGGATCCATTAGCAGTACTTCCTGCCATATGCTTCCAGGCATAAATGCCAAGAGACTTCCCTTAGGAACATCAATCCCACGCGTTTGCCTAATGGGCTATCAAGGGCTCTTCTGGATCCCGTCCATACTTTGAAGGGACTTATAGATGCAGGTAAAATCAACCTCAGTCTTTCCAGCTGCTCTCAGTGGCCGCTACCCCCAACCTTCATCAGTCAGGGTCCCCAGAAAGCTTTTTCAGCCTTCACAGGAATGGCAGTAAATTCTCCAAGTGCGGACCCCCAGTTCCTAACTTTATAGGCTAAATGGATCTGTGACCCTTGGGGAACACAGTCGGTAGGTAACCTGCTACATTTCACAGGCATGTAGGATCTCCCAGTGTTGCTGATCTGCTTCTTCCTTTGTATCTGATACTTATAGGCCTTTAGATTAAAAATGCCAGATTAAAGACGCCAGGGCTGTGCATGCACAGAGGACACTGTGAGGATGTGGTGAGAAGGCGGCCATTTTTTAAAAATTACATCTTTATTGTTGAAAGTAGTACACGTGTCCCTTCTCCCCCCTCTGTCCCCTTCTAACCCGCTTCAACCCCCACCCCAGGCCTTCTCCACCCCATTGTCTGTGTCCATGGGTTATGCATCTATGCATGCAAGCTCTTTGGTTGATCTCTTCCCACCTCTGCCTTCCCTCTAAGATTCCGCAGTCTGTTCTATGCTTCTGTGTCTCTGGATCTATTTTTTTTCATCAGTTTATTTTGCTCATTAGAGTCCACATATGAGTGAGATCATGTGATACTTGTCTTTCTCTGACTGGCTTATTTCACTTAGCATAGTACTCTCTAGGTCTCTCCATGCTGTCTCACAGGGGAAGAGATCCTTCTTTTACTGCTGCGTAGTAGTCCATGTTGTAAATGTACCACAACTTTTCTATCCGTTCATCTACTCATGGGCACGTGGGCTGTTTCCAGATCTTAGCTTTTGTAAAGTGTGCTTCCATGAACACAGGGACACATACATTCTTTCTGATAGGTGTTTCCGGTTTCTTAGGATATATTTCTATTTAGATGTTTGACCTAGGGATCACTCGGTCAAAAGGCAGTTCCATATTTAATTTTTTGAGGAAACTCCATACTGTATTTTTTATATGTTTTTGTTCATTTTTAGAGAGGAAGGGAGAGAGATAGATAGAAAAATGGATGAGAAACATCATCAATTAGCTGCTCCCTACTGGGGATCGAGCCTGCAAGCCAGGCATGTGCCCTGCTCAGGAATTGAACCTGTGACTTATTGGTTCCTGGGTTAATGCTCAACATCTGAACTACATCAGCCGGGCTCCATAATGGCTGCACCAGTCTGCATTCCCACCAGCAGTGTACTAGGATTCCCTTTTCTCCACATCCTCACCAACACTTGTCATTTACTGATTAATGATAGCCATTCTAACAAGTGTGAAGTGATACCTCACTGTCATTTTAAATTGCATCTCTCTGATGACCAGTGAGTGACTTTGAGCATTTTTCCATATGTCTCGTGGTCATGTGAAGTGTCTTTGCCACTTTGGAGAAGTGTCTAAGCCACCCATTTTGTCATGGCAGCCCAAGCAAATTAATATGATCATCATTGGCCTTTGCCATTTTCTGTCACTAATAATAAAAATAAAGGTTAACCTTTATTACCAAAATATATATATGTGCTGGATTAAAATCACCATAAGGCAATGAAATTTGGGGAGGAGTGACACCTGAAAGGAATAGTATCTAGGCCCAAGCAGAGATGATTCTCTTGTTCATTTCCAATGCGACATATAAGTTAAAGATGATATTCCTCACTGTGCTGGAAATACACAACAGAAAATTGACCATCTTCGCCATCCAACTTTTTAAAAGTAATTTATTGATATTTGAGAGAGGGAGAAGAAACAGACCAAGTCTGCAACCTGGGCATGTGCCTTGATGGGAATCAAAGTAAGAATTGCACCAGCAACCTCTCCCTGCAGGGATGGAGCCCAAAGGAGCCCCTGGCAGGGCCATCTTCGCCACAGTTAAGTGTTCAGTCAGTAGGGTACGTACTCACGTTGCTGTGATACAGATTCCAGAACATTTTCATCTTGCAAATCTAAAACTGTGCCCATTAAACAATCCCCTTTCCACCTCCCTCAGCCCCTAATGACCTCTACTCTACTCTCTTAGAAATCTGACTGCTTTAGGTATAACCGCACTGGCATTTGTCTGTGACTGCCTTATTTCACATCGCTTAATGTCTTCAAGGTTCATCCAAGTTGAAGGTGTGTCAGAATTTCCTTCCTTTAAAGGCTGAATCATCTATTGCATGCCTATACATTTAGTTTATCTGTCAGTGGGCAGGAGTTCTTCTACCTCTTGGCTATTGTAATGCTGCTATAAATATGGGTTTGGGTCTCTTCCTATATCTGCCTTCAGTTCTTTTGTGTGTGCACCCACAAGTACAATTGCTGAATCATATGGTGATTCTGTTTTTAATTCTTTTAAGAACTTCCATATTGTCTTTCACAACAATAGCACCATTTAACAATCCCACCAACAGTACATAAGAGTTCTAATTTCTCCATAGCCTCGTCAACACTATTTTCTGGTTATCTTTTTTCTTTTGGATAAAAATGTATAGTATGCTGCTGAATTCCACATTTATTTATGTTAAAGATAAGCAAACTAATCTATGGTCATAGAAATCACCAAAGGGTGATTAGCGGAGATTAGACTAGAAAAGAGCATGAAGGTCTTTGCCAGCAAGGTCCTGTTTCCCAGTCTTGGTGCCACGACACAGATGCGTCCACTTTGTGAACATTCTGGGCTGTGCACATGTGTGGTTTTCTGGGTCACATTCTAAACTCCACAGACCAGGCAGAAAGCGATTGCAGTAGTTTGTTCGGATGGAAGGTGGTAGTTCAGACTTGGGTAACGATAGGAAGCAGGTGAAGACAAGATCTACGGTGACATTATTTTGTTGTTTCTGCTTTTGCAGTCTAGTAAGTCAAACAAAATCACCACCAGACTTAATGTCAAAATTACTAATAAGCATTTGCTGGAAAGAGACAATAGATTTGAAAACGGTTATAAATACTTGAGAGTAAATGCAAGTAATTTCCAGATACATTAATTGAATTGAACTTTTGCATTTGACAGCACAACTAGATTCCGGGCACACTTAAGATCCAACCAAACTAAGCGCATAGAAAAAATAAGGTCTTCAGTAAACATTTACCCTTCTTCAGATAGGAAAGTACACTTGAAATAACACACTATGTAAATTGTGCGCTCACACGGGGGTACCAGACCGTGGAAGATCAACAGTTCAGCTTATCTGCTGCTACAAGTCTTTTATAAGTTGTCTTACTGTCACTTAAGTAAGAAATGTCCTTCTATTCTTATTCTCACTTAAACAAGAAATTTCCTTCTAACCAGTCAGCAAAGATGCTGAAACACACAGACCTGTGATGTCTATGTGCCATAAGTATAAATGCCACTTCAAGAGTCTTAACTGTCACTTCCCATGGCTAGTTCCAAATCTGTTATACTCAGATGCTGCCTGTCCAGGAACCCAGTTCTGCCTTGCTGGTAGCCCCTCTTCCTAAAAAATACCCCCCCCCCCCCAGACTAGCCAGCACCACCCACTCCTGAGAGCGCTGTGCAGGGGCAGCTATGTTCCCCAGGCAGTGCGCTCAGAGACCCTTTGAAAGACAATTGACAAACTATACTGAGTAGCAATCACAGAGATCACGAACTCCAAAAAGTAGTTTTTCTGGAAAATGTGTGACCAGATCAACAGGATTTTCTTCCCGACAAGAGCCAGAAGAGGAAAAAAGGAACCCCCTGCTGATGACGTTTCAGATTACCTTCAACCACAACTGTGCAGCCTCAGAATCTGCATCTTAGCAAGCACCCAGCTGCCTCCAATCAAGTTCTACTCAAGTAGACCACCAAGTGGTGTTCTTGTTTCCCAAGAGAGACTACACATTTACCTTTACTTCCTCAATTACACTCATGCAGGCAGCATTTACTGAACATCTACCATGTGCCAAGTACCATTCATGTAAGACCTAGGGTTTGAACAGTTATCAAAAAGAAGTCCCTGCCCCATGGAGCTTACATTCGAGAGAGGGAGACTGACATAGCCAAAGACATAAAAGTAGCAAAGCAACCTGGGAACGGCCATCCATTTTTAAAAATAGGTGCTTGGTTTTAATAAACAAAATGTGGATTTTGACAGATATCCCAATCCCATTATTTTCCTGAAAATGCTCAAAGGCAGTATTTTAAAACAGCAGCTGTTGGCCAACATCTAATATACAAGTAGATAGACTAGTAAAAACACACCTTAATTAAATAAAAATGATCAGGGCCTATAAGATAAAAATGTAATATTTTATTTTCAAAAACAGGAAGTCTCCTAGTCTTGATAAAATGTGTGTGGTCTTAAACTAATATATTAAATATCAACATCCAAGCCCTGATTGTCAGGCATGGTTTACTTCATCTGCCCAGGACTGTCTGTCCCCGTTTTAACACTTCGGAATCAAGACCTTCTCCCCAGAAGGAGACAGGCCATATGCTAACATGTAACCCAGCTGAAGTAAACTAGCTAAAAATGCTTTTGCAAGTTTAGTCCTTTTCAAAACGAAGCAAACTAAAATTTATTAAACGGGCATTCTCAATTTTGTTTAGCTGACATATATTTACTTTTATGAGCAAAGGTAATCATATTAAACTAATGACTTGAATAGTCCCAACTCATAATTCAACCAGTAACTGACTGAAAAGCTGAAATTTATACACCATTAGTATCCGTTCTCAGAACAGACAGTTGGATATGGCTACATTTTACCCAGAAGGTGCTGGACTTCATTGATAAACCATTATTTTGGGGGGAAAGATGTATGAACAGGAAACAAACAAACCAAAAACATCATAGTTGGGCAGGCAAGTATGGTATACAGCCAAGTCTGGTTTACCTCAAAAATGCAATTCTGCAGTACGACCCGCTAACCAGGCTCTCTGCAAACCAGTCAGTTCACAAGAACGAAGCAGAGTCAAAACACAGAAAAGCTAAACGCAGCTGCAAAACCAACATGTGCACAGAGATGGTTTTTCAACATGCAATCATTCTGGCTTTCCTTTACCAAGCCAACTTCAAGATATGGATCACTTTTCCACAGGAACCTGTCAGTCAGTCATTTGTGCACCTGTTTGATTCCCGGTCAGGGCACACGCCTGGGTTGCAGGCTCGATCCCCAATGCAGGGTGTATAGGAGGCAGCAGATCCATGTTCTGCTCTATAGATGTTTCTCTCTCTGTCCCTCCCACTCAAAATCAATTTTAGAAATCTTAAAAAAAAAAAAAAAAAGAGAAAGAAAGAAACTAAGGTAAAGGCAACTACTTTATAAAGTAATAAACTTTTTTTTAATGCAGCAATTTGGAAAAGTAAAAAAATGTAGCTTATGTATTACAACTGATTTGGTACATTAAGGAAGTCATTATATACACACCTTTAATCAGCTGTTACTCTGACATTCTTGTTTAAAAAACAAACTATGAATATTACATGGATTACCCTCTCTTCCCTCAAACAAAAGCCTAAGTTGACAGAAGGGTAAATTATTATAAGTGCCCCCTTTCCTTTGCCTTAGATTTTTAAAAATCCAAATACCAGTATATATATTCCCCCTTCTCTCTGCTTCCTATATATAAATCAAACTTCCTTCACCTTTAGTCAATTCTAAAACCAAGTCATTTTTGCCCCTAAGAAATATTTACAAATTACCTTGTGAATTAGTTCTAGCCCATCACTTAAGTTTCAAAACAGACCCAATTAAGTACCCCGTATTTCATATTAATATGGCATTTAGATACCACACTAACTATAGTTGGGAATAATACAGTTCTTAAAAGTCATAATTATTTACTTTATTTTCTTGTTTAAAAATAGCATAGATGGCACTCTAATTCGCATTAACCTGTTTGAACACAATTAGGTAGGACATTTTATCACTATACAATAGAAGAAAACCTGCTCATTTAGACCATTTAAGGCTTACATAAACTAGTAAAAATATTGTTTATCTTTCAATGCATACTAGAATGCAAAGTCTCCTTATAAAATTCAATAGTTAATATATTAAGTGGAAGCCCAAATGCTGACTACAGTAGGTAAGATTTTTTAAAAAAATATATTTTATTGATTTTTTTACAGAGAGGAAGGGAGAGAGCGAGCGAGCTAGAAACGTCGATGAGAAACATCGACCAGTTGCCTCTTGCACACCCCCTACCGGGGATGTGCCCGCAACCAAGGTACATGCCCTTGACCGGAATCGAACCTGGGACCTTTCAGTCCACAGACCGACCGTCTACCACTGAGCCAAACCGGTTTCGGCCTGTAGGTAAGATTTAAGTTGGCCATACCAGCTGAAGTGTCCGGATAACTTACTAAATTCTCAGTTTTTGTCTAAATGCAATCTTTACCACCAAAGTTCCACCTAGACATGTAAAATAACGGTTTCCATCATTGTGGACTCTAAATTGAGACTTGACTGTACTAATATTGAACAGAGCATACATTTTTAGAAGCATGCAAATTTCTACTCCTCTATATCCAGAGATTAAGATTTAATTCAACAAAGCTAATGGACTCCTAACACTTCCATAGAACACAGAAACGGGAGTGGAATGTCTATACATTCCACACACTTCACTAACAAATTACAGGAAAATTGCTTATTTCATGGCAACTGGATTATATAATAAACAACAAGAAAAGGCCACTTATTATGATGAGTGTAGTCTTTATTGAAAGACTTAACTTCAACTGTGGTTTACAGCTTTGGCTTAAGTTGGCCAGTCGTTTTAGCCTGTTACTGCCAGCAGACATAAAAACCAAGTGGGAATGCCATGGGGGAAATAACTAGTAGGGATTAGAGCAAAGATGGCAGTCAAAAACACATCACCAAAACCAACCTCAAAATAAACTTTCATTGCATGCCGAAGAATCTGTGCTGCTGTTTCTAATGAACATGGAAAAGGCAACAATTCTTAGGCTTAAATTGGATGAAAATAGCACTGATTTCATTTAGTTATGGCCGGTGTTAGCTTGACAGTTTTATTCTAAGGTAGTGCATTTTGTTTGGATATTTAAAAAACTTACTATGAAATAACTTCCACTAACTGAGCTGATCATGAACTCTCGTTCTCTTTCTGATTAAGTCGAAGGACACTTCAGTCATGTGTTTACTATGGCAATATAATTAATTAGTCCTTATACTTTTATTAATTCATAGAATATACAACTAGGAAATACTGCAGCTATATTTTAGCTGTCATCGCAATAAGCTAATTGATTTACTAGCAGACCAAAAAAGGCAAATTTAATAGGCTTTTATCAATATATTTTTAAGTCTTTAATTGTTCAAGTTTCACATATATTCAAGAAATTTTTTATTAGGAGGCATAATTGATATAATTTGTACTTGAGTGTTCTCTTATAAAATGTAAAGTAACTTTTCCATAACATCCCCCAAAGACACCATGAGCAAAAGAAATAAGGGTAAGTTTTGTAATAGAAGAATATAACAGATGACTATAAAAATTGGCCCAAAGATGAACTTCAGACACTGAATTTTCAGGTATAGTAACATTTGGCTGTATTTCTAAATAGGGGAGAAAGGGAAATAATACCAAAATTATTGTGGTTACCAATTTATAAAACCATCATTATTTCAAAGCTAATTGTAAGATTTCAAAAGTTTCAATAATCATCTGTGGATATTAGTTCCAACTTACTAAACTATAAAGGCTTTTCTCATTTTGGTGTCCAGGCCTCAAAACATTTCAAATATATTGCCTAAACATTTGCACCCCCTAGCTGTCAAAATTCAAATACAGAGGATTTTATCCCTTTTACATCCCTGTTACGATAAAAGTTCGAGGCAGATTTTATCCACACAGCCCGAAAAATGCCTCCGGAACAAACCTCCATCTTCTCCACCTGCTAATTCATTTGCAAACTGCACTCACACAGCCCAGCCTCTGTTCAGGCTTTTCCTCCCTGGCACACTACCCACACAGAACAAAGGAACCAAAAGGAAAGTCACAACTCTGTACGCTAGTCAAAGCAAAGAGCCAATCATAAGTTGGTACAATGAACTGTCTAAATAAGATGTTTTAGCAATCTTGTTTAAAAAATTATCGGGCAAAATATATCTAATTTAAAAAACACCCAAAGACTTTTAAAAAAACACTTGTATTTTACAATTTATAGGAACCTTGAAATGGCTTACAAGGTTTTAAGGTGTTTACATACCAAGTGATGTAAAGCAAAGGGAAAAGGCAAAGAAAAAAATCTGCAATGACATTTTAAAATGTATTTCTGCATCAAAGATTTATATGAAATTAAATTTAAGGCTTTTTCTGTATAGTAATTTGTATAATTTTAATTTTACATAGTAGCCAACCTTGGAAATGTCAGTCTTAAACATTCTTATCAATCCATTGCATTCAATGCAGTGGAGTGTGTTGTTACTTCAAATAATTACATTGCTACTTCTATGTTGAAGCATGCTTTTTAAACACTGTAGTTAATATTTACAATGTATATCATTTAAACTTCATGTAAAAGCACAAGTATGACTGTCTGACTTTAATACAAACACCATACTTGGAATTTTCCCCCAAAAGTGAAATGTAATTTACTACAGTTTTAATAATCAACACTTTTTAAAGTCTTAAAAATATGTCTTAATGTGGATCACCAACATTTGCTCAAGTAACTCAGGCAATGCTGTTCCTTATTTAGGTTGCAAAATTTCTTTATCAGTCTGGCTTCAGGTTTCTTTAAGCATAAAGTAAATATTTCCTCCAAAGCGACTCCAAAACCATGCATTTCTTCTCAACATCACACTTTTTTTCTGCTGACTTCGAATGTGGTCCACCTCAGAGTAGGGGAAGGTAATGTCAAGATTCAGGATGAACTTATATGTGATTCCCAGTTTTTCACGATCCTCCCTTTTTTTTTCCTCTTTTAAAAACAGTGAGTTAAAATACTGAATAGCAAGGTAAAAATGGAATAGTATCTAGTAATCAAAATGTATTACCCATTTCTCCTATAAAATTTGTAGTCAGAATTGTCTTTATTGACTTTATTTTAGTTTTTGTACACAAAGAAAAATCATGTTCATATCCATCATGAACAAAAACTTAAAAAGGCAGAACTAGAAGACATGTGTCCTTCACCAAAGCAAAGCTGTGCTAAAGGTTCCAAACATTTCCATTTTTAAAATAAATATTTCCGTTTTCCGATGTCTACTTCCATGTCTTCAGAGTGTCACAGGAAACTGAAGCTATTATGAATTACAATTTTGTTTAGAGTCCCAGCTCACTGCGTTTGGTAACTTGCCATACCATATCCAGCTTGGTTAGGAGGAGGTATTACAGGGGGGGGAGCTTGTCCTTGGGGGGGCTGAGCACCAAATCCACCCATCCAAGCAGCAGAAGGTGATTGACTTGAAAGAGAAGAAAAACAAACACTTCAGCAAACACAAGGAAAAATCATCTGTACATTTTTACAAAAACCAAGCAGAGCTAAATCACAGAATAGACAACAAAGAATCAACAAACCTACAACAAAGAGCAAAGAAATAACTGATACATAGCCAGCCACATATGTAGAATACATATTACAATATTACAGTCTTTTTATTTTTATTGATTTCAGAGAAGGGAGAGGGGAGACAGAGAAACATCAAAGGTGAGAGAGAACCATTGATTGGCTGCCGCTTCTATGCCCCCCATAGGGGACTGAGCCCGAAACCCAGGCATATGCCTTTGACCAGAATCAAACCTGGGACCCTTCAGTCCACAGGCCAATGCTCTATCCACTGAGCCAAACCAGCTGGGCACAATATTAGTCTTAAATTGTTAAGAAAATACCCACAACTTAACACAATGACTACTCTGAAGAGTAGCTCAAAACTAATTAAGAAAACAAACAAACAAATGGCCCCCTGGCTTGGCTCAGTCGTTGAGCGTTGACCGTCGACCTATGAACCAGGAGATGACAGTTCAATCCTGGTCAGGACATATGCCTGGGTTGCAGGCTTGATCCCCAATAGGGGGTATACAAGAGGCAGCTGATCAATCAATGGTTCTCTTTCATCACTGATGTTTCTGTCTCCTCTTTTTCTCTCTGAAATCAAGAAAAATATATTAATTTTTTTAAATGACAAATGATTCAACACATCATCTACCTACTGTATATTGCACACTGTATATCAATTTACAAGAAATTTTAAAAACACAAGTTCATTTTTAAAAAAGGAACAAGTGAAAATAAAGGGACCTCTGGGGACCAGCCCACTCTATCAAATAAGGAAAAAAAGCAAGCTATTTTTTAATCAGATAAATCTCTGAAACTCCTCACACAAGCCAACAGGTATAAATCATTACATTTCTGAACATATCTAGACAAAGATCTTTTCCACACCAAAATAAACAAATAGATAAAATAGTACGTTAGAAATGTAAACCAAACTCTACCAATTGCTTATAAAGGTAGCAGGACATACCAAACATTATCCCAACCTCCCTTTTCACCTAGGTAATAAGAACATTTTTAGCACCATAAATCTCTTTTCATAAGTTTTTTAATAGCTCGATAAATTTAATTTAAATAAATTCTCCCTAGAAAAACACACTTTTTATTGCTCTTGTCAGAACCATATTTCTATACTGAAAAACAACAAACTTGCCAAAACCGGTTTGGCTCAGTGGTAGGGCATCGGTCTGCAGACTGAAAGGTCCTGGGTTCGATTCTGGTTAAGGGCATGTACCTTGGTTGTGGGCACATCTTCAGTAGGGGGTGTGCAAGAGGCAGCTGATCGATGATTCTCTCTCATCGATGTTTCTAACTCTCTAGCCCTCTCTCTTCCTCTCTGTGAAAAATCAGTAAAATATATGAAAAAACAAAACAAAACAAAACAAAAAACCAAACTTACTCTACTCCAAATCCTTGTTGATTCCATGGTTGCCCGTATACTCCATAAGGCGGTACTTGCCACCCATTTGCCATATACTGTCCGTACTGTTGTGGGTTTCCATAAACTTGGCTCCACTGACCCCACTGACTATAGTCAACCTAGGAAAAAGCAAATTACTGTTTTAGGAAACAAGTAAGAAACACAGTATTTGAAGAAAAGTGGGAGACAAGGAAGAGAAAAACTAAGTAAGCACCCTTATGTGAATAGGACTCTGTTATTTATCATTGTCTAAGTTTATTGGGTGGTGACACCTGTGAAAAGAAAGTATTAAGATTCAGTTAATACCACAAAATAATCACTTTTGAAATAGTATTAATAAAAATCAAGTGAAAGCAGATAAATGCTTCATTTTTTAATTTCAGTTTCTAAAAGTTTTTATGTAGATATTTAAGATAGAAACCTTAAACAGTGCTATGAAAAATCGAATTACCTGCTGGAAGTTTTTAGTCATATCAGGAGATTCTTTACCCCAATAGCATTTAACAACATGTCCTTCGATCGTAGTACCATTCACCGACACAATGGCATGGGCTGCACTTTCGTGGGTTGAAAATCTGAGAGAAAAATAGAAAAAGTTTTTTTTAAAGAACTTAACACAGTACTAGTTTACATACACTCTTGTTAGTTTATAAGTGTCAATTTGGCATTGGTATCGTAGAGTACGTTACATAGGTAGTTTAAAGTTCTACATTACAAAGTAATACTAACATAACAACCTCTGATACTTGGGGGGTGGGGGGAAGATCAAATAATGTAACTGAAAGGAACAAATCAAATTTAAGAGTAATAATATTACAGATAGAATTTTACCTGACAAATGAATAGCCCTTTTCTGGAAAAACTCTTATTTCCATGATTTGTCCAAATGGTGAGAATGTCTGTCTCATAAGCTGATCTGAAAAATAAAAACATATAGATTATTCAAGGTTCATGTTTATCATAAAATTGGTATAATAGTGATGAAGCTCCAGAGAAGGGGGTTAGAAAACCAAACACAATACCTGTTAACCCAGAAGCAATTCCTCCACAGTACACAGTACAATTTTTTGGACTTGACTGGTTTACTACATCTTCAAATCTTAACTGCTTAGTGTTATCTACATGCACAGAGAAAACAAAAATGTTGAGAGATTATTATATTTTATTAAGATATTCCTCATTTGGGGGGGAAAAAGTGAAAGAAAGTATTTTTCTTCATGCTCTGATTTGATTTATATCAGATGGTTCACAGCTCCAAATATAATATCTCAAAGCCCAAAGTTATATTCAAGATAAAACGAGGCTTGCAATGCTAATAAAGTTTTAAGACTATACCAATTAAGACTATGCCAATACATGACTTTGTGAAGCACCATCATTTTAATAGAGTACATGTAGCTTACTTTCTTGTGTGCTTTTAGGTGCAGGTGGTTTGCGTGTGGCCCAATTGGTTCTGATCTGACGACCACCCAGCCACTGACCTCCCATATGCACAATTGCATTTTCTGCATCCTATAGAGAGAAAGAGAAAGAGCAATTACAAACAGAAAATTGTGGTATATAAGACCCAGAAGATGAAAGAAAATGCTGGATCCAATAAATCTTATCAGTAAATTAATTCCCTGAGCATCCTAAGCAAAGCTGGATTAATATACTAAGAAAATTATTTATATTAAGTGATTCATAAAAGCTATTATTATTTATAGATTTCAAAATACCACGACAGCATTAGAGAAATTTATCATAATTCAAATATGCAAGAAAAATATCACAATCCCGTTGATTAAAACATAAAAAGGCAGCCGAAGCCGGTTTGGCTCAGTGGTAGAGTGTCAGTCTGTGGACTGAAAGGTCCCAGGTTCGATTCCGGTCAAGGGCATGTACATTGGTTGCGGGCACATCCCTAAGTAGGGGATGTGCAAGAGGCAGCTGGTTGATATTTCTCTCGCATCGACGTTTCTAGCTCTCTCCCTTCCTCTCTGTAAAAAGTCAATAAAATATATTTAAATAAATAAATAAAATAAAATAAAAAGGCAGAAATCCCATAAAAGTTGTTTTCTAATATTTTGATTTTATGATTTGTAATGTAACTTTTACTGAATAATATATAAAAACTCTAACGTTATGGTCTAAATCACCTAACCCCGAAAATGTACATTCTAGTAGCAATGTATTGTAACTATAACACAATATTAAAAACTCATTTAAAGCAGAAAACTTTCTGCATTGTTGAAAAATGCTGTAAAGTGGCTGCCAATAAAAAATGAATTTGGATTCTCAGAATTAATGCGAATTTGCAACAAATGCAATGAATCTAAGCAAAGAAAGTATATGACCCCTGCTCTTTATCTTACTGCTTCAATAAATGCAGGTAATCTAAGTTGCTGAAATTGTTCTAAAATGCTGATGCCAAAGCCCACTTTATAATCTGATGTTATAGTTAATGCAAATACTTAAATATTTTAGTACTTCTTTCTTAAAAAATACATGCAAAAGTCAGGATGTACTGCTTCAACTTTCATTTAATATCCCAGCTACAAAAGTATGAGTAATTATTAGAAGTTAAAACTGAGATTTTCAAAGTGAAGGCAAAATACAGTCTAACTTCCCTCCAAATTCTGACTACCTCATTTGTCCTACCTTTTAGCTTTACTTCTAAGTTATATCTTACCTTCACCAGTGCACAAATGCAACTTTATTACTCTTCCTTATAAGCAGGCTATCTTTTTCCAGCTATTTCCAAGCTTATGACAAAATGAATTATGCTCTATTGTTAAGACATACAATATTACATAAAAGCTGTGTTTGCAGTTAACATCTAAGACCATTCAAGTTTCAGATTAATTAATGACTAAATTCTGTATTAAACTGAAATTGCATTGAAAGAACGTACCAGTTTGTTATAAAAAGATACAAAACCATAGCCTTTGGATTTTCCAGTTGCCATGTCTTTAACTACTCGGGCGTCCCTGTGAAAAGAAGCACAGCTAAATGAGGGAAGTAAGAGTCATCCTCAAAATAAAAACTAAAAGGAACCACACACACTGTATTGTGAGCATTTTTTAAAATAAAATTTCAGTTAGCCCTAATTAACTACAGTCATTCCTGAACTCTCCCTAACGCTTCTTTACCTGTTAGAAAAAAGCAGTAGGACAAAAACATGTAATAAACATGCAACCTAATCAAATAGCCTGTGCTTTCTAAACTAAATGCTCAAATCTGAAGATAAATAGGAACAATGGTTTCTTTTTCTAATATTCTATTGGCTAGTGTCCTCTAAGGTTTACTGATTCTATAAATTACTGTAACAATGCTAACTACTTTACCACCATGCAATCTCTAAATAGTTAAATGTTTTCTGCCTAGTGATACAAAATATATGAAATATTAAAAAATTGAAAAAGAGGAAAAAATAGGAATTAAAAAGGCATACATGGCCTGTTAACAGATTTCTTTATTTTTCTTGATCAATTCTCTATCATCATTTTGGAGTTTGGGCAGCTGTAAATTTTGAAAAATTGACATTTTCAGAAATTTAAGAAAGGAGAATAAAAAACTAACAACAATGCTAAGCACACCAGTACGAAAACAACAAATTTACACAGAAATTTTAGTGAGTAAGTTAAAATGATTGGAAATAAAGAACTCCACTGAATATAGAATGTTAAAATGTAAATACTAAAATATATGTATATATAAATAAATGTATAATAAGAATAAATAGAAATGAGAAAAAAATCTACAACTGAGTTCCAGTGTGCACAGTTCCTTGCAGTTAGCCTTCAAGATCCTGTCCATTCTTATGAGCAATTCTGCAAAATAACCAGAATGCTATTACTTTTAATTGTGACTTGGACTTTAGAAAAACTGCAGCTCTCAGGTATAAATAAAGATTGAAAAACAGCAAGCTGTATTATTTTTATACTGATTTTTTACTTACCACATTTAGAGATTAAAAAGCAAAGCAAATATCAAAATAGAAAATTAAGAATTAAATATTTCTTTCAAATAAAACTATAGAACAACAAATTGTATACAGAAAGATGTTGTTCTTAGTTGAAACATATTCCTGTAAAGTAATACTAAAATGTATTATTTAAATCTACAGGAAATACGTAAGACAAATAGATCTTAATCAGAAAGATAAATTATGATAAACATTTTATAGAATTGTAACCACTTTTAGTTTTCTAATATATTTGATCAAGTAACATACAGTGAAATTTGAGCATGAACTTTGTTAAAAATTAAACCACATTTGGGCCCTAATTAGCAGAATAAAACACTAACAAAACAGAAAACAATCCAAATTTATGGCTCAAACATTGAAACTTCTTAATACTATAACAACATTTATCATTATAATTTAACATATACATTTTCATTTAACCACAATATACCCCAGGATTTATCTACTTTCCCCCACTAATAAAAAGCTTAATACACAGTATAAATCACATTTATTTTAACCCATTATCTTTAACCACCAAATATCGAAAACATTTGACAAAAAGTTGGACTTCATAATAGTTTTTACCACCCAAACATCTGCTTCAAAGATAACAATCACTTAAAATTTTTAAACACATTATACACAGGATTAGATGAAAACAAGATCCCAAAACATTAAAATGACAACATTTTCAACAACATCTAATAAAAACAAAAACAAAACAAAAATCACACTAATTAGGAAAAGAAAACCTTAATTCTTATACAAGTTAATCAGATACTACTGTGCCTATCACAATTGAGTATAGTATTGATTATGATACTTACGATATTTTACCAAAGGGAGCAAATGCTGATTTGATATCTTCTGTTGTAATTTCTGGACTCAAATCCCCAACAAACACATGGAAGTGATCTGAAATCAAAGCATTTGGTAATCAAATACTTAAGTGAGCTACTAAACCTTTTATTTATGTTTATTTATTTTTTTTATTTTTGCTACTAAACCTTATATAGGCAACAGGAAGGGAAGGGAAAAACCCTACTTAGGCTGGTAATGCTGCCAGGGTAATTTCAGAACTCTTCCACAGGAAAACGCAGCAGGAGTACTTACTGGAAGTATCTTTTTTCTGGCTACTTGGTGTTGTTGCCCAGTTTACTTTGACCTCCTAAAAATAAAGATTATATTTAATAAAATTATTAGGGATATCATTAAAAAGCATAACACTTACCACTTATTAAGTCATTTATCAAGCAGGATAATTTTTATAAAAGTACTAGGCTGAATAAAGCAAAATCATCACTCAGCAGAGCTGAATATTCTTTTAAAAACTTGCTAAGCAATAATGCAAACTAATTTGACATGCAAACACGTATGTTCATTAGGTGCCATTATTCTATTATCTTACCTTTCCCAAAATTTTTCTCCCATTCATAGCAGCTAATGCAGCAGCTGCATCTCTGTGTTCATAAAATTCCACAAAGCAATATGGGTCATTGCTTGTATGCTGCAAAACAGAAAATCCAACAGAAGAGTTGACCCTTCTGCTATCGGGTTGCTGAGAAGAAAATCCAGGAAAAAACATTACTGATAGCTAGGAATGTACAGGTGAGATTGCATAAGTTTATGAAAGCCTAACACTTTATAAAGAGTTATAGCTAGACCTGACTTTGCACCTCAGGATTCTGTTGTACGCCAACAGAACTGCCAAAGCAACACAGAAGTATGACTATCAGCATTAAATCAAAATACAGAATTCTAGTGAAGTATGGTAAATATGAAGTAGAAGTTTATATTAGACCAAACAAAACCTCAGTTCAGATGTGATGGATAAGGACCACTTCCTTACCACTGCTCTTCTTTCCCAACAGAATTCTCAACATGAATTCTATTTATGCATCAGAATCCTTCACTAACTGTAACCCATGACTACCAAAATTACAGAAATGACCAACTTTGCAAACTTTACTCCTATTAGCTCTACATATGATGAGATGAGATTATGTATTTCTTTTATAGATAAGAAATGAGAATAATATTGAAAAAGTTCAAATTTATAACTTGCTATTAAAGTGAATTTCCTTTCAAAATATTTTAATGTATTAGAGATTCTATAAATTTTTTAATTTGGTCATCAAAGACCAGAAAAATAAACTAGTGATTGAGAAAAAAATTTCTAAAAATGTCTTTAACTAAACATTTCAAGACAAAGCTACAATTTTATATCGCAAAAACACTCAAAAAATATTATATATATTCTACAACATTATGCTTGACAGTAGTTGGCAAATAGGTGTTTATAGATGATGAGAAAGTAGTACACCTAATTATATCATCTCACAACCTACATGGAAGTAAATTTTATAAACCTGCAACCTAAATTGGAGTTACACAACTGTATAAATATATTTACATAAGGTTAAAAACAATCATCACTGTACTGTGTAAAATGCCCTAAAAAAATTAAAAATGTGGAATTCTAGTTGCACTTACAAAGGATAAAAATACCAGATAAAATAAAGATCTTTTCAACAATCACTGTTTTTCATCCCAGGAAAGTTTTAGAAGAAAAATCCAAAATAAGACGTCTAAAACAATAGTGGCGAAGCAACCAGAGGCATTTCCTTGAGATGGGAAAAAGTGTGATCATTAATACTAACAAGAAAACTCTGGGCTCCCATACAAAATCCTACTGTCCTAGCAACATGAACACTGTTCTTAAGAGGTAGGGAAAGAAAATGGGGGGGGGGGACATGGGACTCCAAATCTTAAAGCCCTCCTTTAAGAAAGTTAATATTTACTAGTAACGGTCAGAAAAGAAAGGATTTAAAATGTAAATAAGCTAAAACAACTAGTCAATTTTTCCTTTTAGTCCTACCTTTTCTGCCCTATGGCCTCTGAGGAAAGCACTGATAACTGTAGCAAACACAGAAAGTCCAGTGGTAGAGCTATAACAACAGACTTCAGTGAACTCGTCTACTCATGCATGTGGACTGCATGCTTATCTAGGCGGTAGTAGGCCGGACCCCATTCAACGTACGTAAACATGCACATTCATATATTCACACCACACTACATTTTTATCTAAGACCGTACTGATTTCTGCCACATCTCAAATGTCAGATGTGTTAAAAAATTTACTAGGTAATATACATCTATTATAGTATTCAGGGAAAGCTAAGCTCTAAATAGTACCTAAAGTAAAAAACAAACAAACATAAAACTAAGGGTAAGAATGATTTTTAACATGCTGAAATGAAATTCACGAAAGAAAAATAAATGCCTATAGCAGTGGTCACCAACCGGTGGCCCACAGACCACTGCTGGTCCGTGCGGTCCGAAAGGTTGGCGACCGCTGGTTTGGAGCAGCGTTCATGCCCTTTGGAAGCTTCCCACCTACACCACAGGCAAGTGGCACTAAAAATTAACTGCGTCTTAATTACTATGGTCACCAATTTTTAAAAAAATTCTTACCCAAGGATATAATCTTTACTGATTTTAGAGAGGAAGAGAGAGAGAAACATTGATCTGAGAGAAAAACATTCATCAGTTGCCTCCTGTATGTGCCCCAACCGGGATGAAACCTGCAACCTAGGCATATGCCCTGACCAGGAATTGAACCCACAACCATTTTGGTGTATGGAAGGAACACCCACACTCCAACCAACCGAGCCATCCAGCCAGGACTGTAGTCATCAATTCTTGTGGGATGACATAAAGATCAAGACAGAAAAATACAAGGACTTACAACTATTTACAAGTTCAAATGAGGGAGTTGTAAATTTTGAAAAGTCACTAAAATCCCTCTACCCCTCCAATGGCTGTACATGCGGGTTTTTATAAAAACACTTTAAGTCGTTATTAAATGACTTGCAAAAGTTTCTAATGATTCTTTCCCCTTTCACATCCCATTCTCTTCTAGACCCACTCCAACTGGCTTCCAGCCCAACTACTAAGCCACTGAAACTCTGTTATACTCACCAGTGACCTCTGCCAGCTGTGATCCCTTTTGTCCTCATCTTGACTTTCAAGTAGAATTCAAAACAAGTGACAACCCCCAAAAAACCCTCTAAACATTCTCCTTCACATTCCGCTATACTCTCTTGGTTTTTGCTTTCTCACGGGTATGTGTGTGTGCGCGCGCGCGCCCGGTAGTTCTTCTTAACTTAGACTCTAAACGTCCTAAGTGTAGAGATGCTCTGGAGTCCCTCTACTCTTCTCTACATCACTCTCAGGAACTGGATGTCACCTAGTCCCATGGCTTCAAATACTACTGCAAGCTGGTATCATCAGCACTGGTCTCTCTCAAGTACCCAACTAGTTTATCCAACTGCCTACATTTCATGCCAATTTAACTGTCTACTGCACATCTTAAATTTAGCATTGCCAAAAAAGAGTTCCTGATTCCCACCACTCCCCCCCCCCCCCATCCATCCTGTGCCTCCCCTACTCATGCCCTCTTTAGCAAATAAGTAGCATTACCATCCATATAATTGCACAAACAAGAATCTTAGGGTTGCCCTGGCCGGTTTGGCTCAGTGGATGGAGCAATGGCATATAGACTGATAGGTCACAGGTTCGATTGCAGTCAAAGGACACATGCCCGGGTTGTGGGCTTGATCCCCAGTAGAAGCCGTGTAGGAGGCAGCCAATCAATAATCCTCTCTCATCATTGATGTTTTTGTCTCCCCCTCTTCTTTCCTCTCTGAAGTCAATAAAAATATTTAAAAAGAAAAAGAATCTTAGAGTCCTTCTTGAAGTCGTCTTTCCCATTACGCCCCACAGCCAATCTGTTATTCTATCTCCAAAATATATACCACGTTTATATACTTCCATCTCTATGGCTTCCACTCTAGAGAACAAGTCCACATCACCACTTAAACTAGTCTAGTGAAATAAACTCAGCTGGTTTCCCTTCTTCCACTCTTGCCCCTACAATCCATTCTCCACATAACAGTCATTCTCCAAATACAGTACCTTAAAAATTCAAATCAGAATACATGACCCTACTTAAAACCCCACTGCTCTGTCATGGTCTGTACTGCCCTCTGTGATGCCCAACCCTGCCTATCTCTTCACACTCACTTCCTACCACTTCCCCTGCCCCTCACCAGGCTCCAGCTATCCTGGGTCTTTCATTGAACCCACACACCAAACTCATTACCAACTCAGGCTTTGTATACCAACTCTGCTTCCAGCTCTGAATGTAGATGGCACCATCTCGTTCTTCCGACTCAGCTCGGAGGTGACACCTTCCCTCACACCTAGCCCATAAAGCTACCCTCCAATCACCATCCAGAACTGCTTTATTCTCTTCATAGTTCCAGTTTTGAATAATGCCTAGCACAAAGTAAATTTTGTGGAAAATAATGAATGAATAATCAGAAATAGGAAGAAGAGGAAACATAATATATCAGAACAGACTGATAATTATCATTAGTCAGGAAAAAAAGACCAAAAGACCAATTTGCTTTACAGATTTTTAACACTCCCCCTGACTCAGGACATAACACAGACTCCTCAGCACAGCTTGTGGTCCCTACCGAACACTCCTCCTCTCCTCTTAGCATCTCTGTGACTAGCCAACCCCACTGCAAACTCCAAGCATGCTATCACCTCTGTCTTTTCCTTTCAAGCATTTCCGCTGTTTACCAGACCAGATCAACATTCTCCTCTCTACCTGGGAATCCCTTCTTCCTCAACTTCCTTTTTAGCCAGTGTCCACTACTCTCTTTTTCAGCTTCAGCCTAGACACTAACACCTCTAAGAAGCCTCTCCAGACTAAGGCTGACTGGAACTTCCCTGTTCTCCCACAGCACGTGAAACTGCTCCCATCGCGTTCATTAGCCTACATCATTATTGTCTGCTAGCTCCTCTGGCTCCTCATTAGACTCTAACCTACGGGCTCTGCACCATTTCACTCACCACTACATCCCTAGGACTTACCGTAATACCTGCTACCCAGTAAATAATAATTTTTTAACAACTGTTGATACAAAATCATTACGCTAACAATTTCAATTCCCACCTACAATAGGCTACTCAGTTATTAGTATTTACTAAAAACACACAAGGTGCAAAATGTTGCACTATGCAAATAACCCAATATACACCAATTCCTAAACTGTAGTTAAGTGTATACTATCTAAATCAGTAACACTCTTGTTGAATTGTATGAAATGTCATCTAGTTTTTCATACTCTGAGATAAGTTGTATTAATTCTTTCCAAGGAAGAACACCTGAAGGTAACTACATCGTGAAGAATGACCATTTGAGAATAACAGGACAGGAACTTTGTCCCTGCAAATAAAACTCCATTCCAAACCGAGTTTGTCAGCCAGTTCCAAGTAATACGTCAATACAACAAACATGAGTCTCCCCATCAGAATAACTTGAGGTTTACTTAGAATGTTTTTTAAAATACTAGTCAACTCATGTATCTCAAAATGTTAAACATCATGCTAACGGTCAGCACATGGAACTGGGAAGATCTTACCTCCGTTATCATTTTACAGCTTTTACAGGGTCCAATCTGACTAAATAACTGAAGAATAAGAACTTCCGTCACATCTCTGGAGAGGTTACCTACGTATCTGGACAAAAAAAAAAAAAGAAAAAGAAAAAAAATCAGTAATTTCTTTCAGCCCTGGCTCTCGTGTTATTATTTAACTTATCACCTTTTAGTTCATTTTAACTTCCTGACTTCATATAGCTATTCCAATTAAGACTCATTCTATGAAAGTAAAATTAATCCTTGTTTATGAAAGCAACAAATGTACTTAGGCCACTAATGTACCACTTCAAAAGACTTTTATAAAAAACAAATGAACATAATCGTGTATACCAAAAGCATAGTTTTCTCATCTCATTAGAATAAAAATAATGAAAACTTAAAGCAATCTCAAGATAACTACAACTTTTTAATATGAAACACAATTTAAAATAATGTAAAACACACACACATACTCATAATTATTGACTTATCAAAACACCTGATCATAAAGGAATAGCCTTTTATATTAGATATAAAGGAATATAACAAGAGTTTATCTTAGACCTCCAATCAAAGCAATTACATGAACAAAAAAGAGAGTTAGTTACAGCAAAACACACAAAAATCAAATGGGTCTGTTTTGTCTTGCTAAATAAAATTGTTACTTCTTGTTTTGTTTTAGAATAGCAAAGTAAAATAAAATTTCCTAGCCTAAAACACATCGTAATCAACAAAATATATACTGATCTAGATAAAACAAATATAAAGACTTCTTTAGAAACTCCGAGAAAATTTAAGACAAATACAGGTATACTTCTGAGTATGCCTAAAGGGTTGGGATTAGTTTTTGTTTGTTTTATAAATTGAATATATGTATTTTGTATAAGAAGTTTAAAACACAGCCTGGCTGGCATATCTCAGTGGTTGAGTGTCAACCTATGAACCAGGAGGTCACAGTTCGATTCCAGTCAGGGCACAGGCCTGGGTTATGGGCTCAATCCCCAGTGTGGAGGGTGCAAGAAGCAGGCAATTAATGATTCTCTCTCATCATTGATGTTTCTATCTCCCTCTCCCTTCCTCTCTGAAATCAATAAAAATATATTTTAGAAAACATTATCTAAAAAGAAGTTTGAAACACAGAAGAATTTTTAAAAGGAAAAAAGAACACCATCACCTAGAGATGACAACGTTGGTTTTTCTTGTACCATGGATTTTTTGTAATTTAGCTTAACTGTCAAACTTCTAAGTCTTTCTGGTCCTCAGTGTATAATTCCTATAATTTGCCTGTTATGAACCTCACCAAGCAAACAATATTTGTAAAAATTAACAGTTTCTTCTGGAAAATAAATGGACATATGTTTTTATTTTCCTAATATGTTACATATGGAAACTTAGTACTGAGACCAAAATAAGCTTTGCATCTATTAACATACTAAATACATAACTGCTTTAAGATGGAAGACTTTGAAAGGAGGAAACAGACTGAGAAAGGTAAAGTTATGTGTAATAAAGAAAATTATCTGATTAGGACTGAATAGGCACTTTCCAGTTCAGCTAAGAATTTCCTTGCAGTGAGTACTAATACCTTTACTTTGTGTGCTCTAAGACTGAAACACAAGCCCATGTTAATTAACAGAAGACTAACCCAGGGACAAACTCGTTTAGGTCACCCATACCATCCCTCCCTCACAATGACAGCAGAACAGGCCCGGCCAGGGCATGCAGCGGCACACTTCTTCCAGCAGCAGCAAAGGTGAGAGCCTTAGGAGTTAGCGAGGCAACTGCCTGTCCCTTTTCAACTCATATGGGGTTTGTGAGCAATCATGGATGGAATTTCCTTTTTGCACAAGGTAGACCTATCTATAAAGAAAGTGAACAAGTAACCTTGATCTCCTAAGTATTATGTTCATCTAACCTAAAGTGCTAGATAGCTTATTTTTAAGAGATTTGACGTGGATAAAACTAATTTTCACATATTGAAGCTAACAAGTAATAAAGTTAAAACAAAATGATCATTGTGATGTAACAGATCTTAAATTGTTTTACATTTGTATTACTGCTTAAAACCTTGATTTGTTGCAAAGGCACTAATTACCTTCTAGTACAGTATAAGTCACAATCAAAGCTGTTACTGTTTCATACGAGTTTTATTTCAAGCCAATCTATTCCAATACGTTATAATTTTGAGAATTTCTAGAGGCACATTTAGATATATTAACTTACATCTCAAGCACTGATGCCAAAGAGCAAAAATGTTAGCCAGACTTTAGAATGACATTAAATACAGAAAAACCTAGTTTTAAAATGTTTCCTATTTTTCAAATATCTCCACTAAAAGTTCTGTGGTAAAGCAGCAAACTTCTTTCTGCTCTGGTTATAAAGCAGGCCATTTATACTAAAGTTCCAAGTGTTTAAATATAAAATTTCAATTCAAAGATCATATATAAAATAACAGAAAAAGACAAATGACTCAAATTTTGTATTGAGAGGTCAACTCAGAGTAAACGATTTTTAACTCAAGAAAAAAGAAAAGCATACCTTCGGTCTATTTTACCTTCTAAGAACAGGAACTGTAGGAGCGAAAGCATTAAAAGTGGAAAATGATGCCTTCATCCCTAACATCAGGGTTAAAATTCAACTTAAGATAGAAACTTCCCAGCTGCACGGTAGGCAAAAGATCACATTGCCAAACTACTTCCCCTGTCCCACTGGGCAGAATTTTAAGTTAAGAACATCATGCCTTTCAGAGAAATGACAAATCACACATTTCACCACTGAATGTTTTCTTACTCTGGAAAGAGTAACCTACCAGGGCTGAAATTACAGCATTTTTACATAACATAGTATAACCACATTTCTCTGAAAAGTAACGTTTTTACTTTAGTTCTTGAAAAGTTCCTATACAAGCGGAGATTTTGCAACAACACCCTTCAATGGGCATCTAATGAATTATCAATCTGTCACTGTTCATCTCAGGTGGCAGGCAAAGTGCAGGGAAGGGACAGGTGAACTGACCAACCACATAAGGGACACTGATGTTATATTAAGTTGAAAGGCTTAATTACAGCCATAATACAAGCAACTCCATGGTGTAGCTAGTCGATACTACAATGGAATTTAATAGTATTTCCTTCTGCTGTTGCCCTTATTCAGATTATACTCTCAATCACTGGTTTATTTCCTCCTTTCAACTGAGTATCAGTAAGGACAGCCATAAAGGATGACTGCATAAGAAGGTATAATATAATCCCAGATCCACAATTCCTACTCATTTTGGTGCATCAGATGGATGAAGAAAGTAAACTATAATAGAACACCATGATAATTTAATGTTGATTGCAGATTCAGATATACCATGGCTCAAATCACTGCATTTTGAGCTACCCACAACACATCTGAGATGTGGGTCCTACAAGGTAGCTATCAGGCAGTTCAGTCCCATTTGTTTGCTTTTTTAAATCACAAGTTACCCAATACATATTACCCCAAAATAAATGTCAAATGAGAATGGAAAGCAGCAGAAAACAGACCTTTAAAGCAACTATTTGAAAAACTTTAGGCTCAACATCAAAGCAATTCTATACCACTTTAAATACCATCGAATAAATTAGTAATACTGTAGGTAATGAATATTTAAAGACCTACCTAGGCTATAAACACCATATTGTTTTCTGATGATAGAACCATATGTCTTAGCTTGTGTGTGTCTGCAGGAAAAAAACCTCACTAGTAACACACAGGCATTTTAAGGAAACAGTACATTCTTTTAAAACATACTGGCCACTTGAAAACCTAATCCGTAGATCACAATGTCAAATAAATAAAAAGAGCTCCATAAACAAACAAAACCCTACTAGATATCAATCTCTACAGTCACATTCGAAAGTTTTTATTACATTACTTGTATCTAAAGAATCCTTTCAGGAGTAATAAGTAAAATAAACTTAAAACTACTATGCATTGTAGTTGTTTTTTTAATTAAAATCTGATCCCAAAAAAAATCCCCGTTGTGAAACATCTGCTTTTACTTCAAAATTTTACATTTGAAGGTTTTAAAATATATATAAAATCAACAGACAGAATCATGTGCATATGACAATCAAGTCTGCCTATAACTTTAAATCAATTGGACTTTAAAAAAAAAAAAAAGGACTTAATACTAATGACAAGAGTATAATCATTGTAAAATATTTGAATACCTCTTATTGTCCAGGCAGTGAACTAAGTGCTGCAGGGGTAAGACCTAGGAAGATGGAGCAGTCCTTGTCTAAAAAAAAAAAGCACCCTTCCCATGAGAACAGTGGGAGAGGAAACAGGAAGACAGAAGAGTAAGCATGTACATCAAGGCTCAAGACGCTTCCTTACTTATGTGTACACATGTCACATTTTTAGACAGCTGCAAACACAGATAAAGTAAGTGTGTTTTGGAGAAAGAACAGGAGATTGGAGAAGGTACAGGTCAGAAGTAAGTGACAAAGAAGTTAGTTTACCGTTATTGGTCAGTTGAGGAAAGTCTAAGGTCCGATGGAGATGAAGACAAGACAGATGCAGAGATCTAGGAATTAAAAGTACTGAAACAGCATACTTTTAGCATGGCAAGGAACAAGAACTTCTCTTCATAAGAAAGTTAGAGGTAATGAGAATATGCCATGAGGATTTACCAATTATTCAGCACTATTATGATGTAATCATGACGTCTCAGTTTCTTAGATACAATGTAACCTTTTTTAAAAACCGTCTTTATTTGAGAGAGAGAGAAAGGGAGAGGGAAAAACATCATGTGAGAAAGAAACAGGTCAGGCTGCTGCACACCCTAACCAGGGATGGGGCCTGCAAAAACGGAACTGGAGACCTTTCCCAGCCAGGGCATTACAATGTTACTTTTTGTTAAACACAGGCTAGCTGGCTCCAAACCCAGCTTTCCCAGATGCTTCCATCAAAACACACACTAACTAAATATCAAGCCTTGGCTTCAACAGATGTTAACAAATTTCAAGCTTGTCCCAATTCCCTTTCTGGGAGAAGAAGGCCAAGATGGAAGACGGAACAAAACAAATAGAAAAGTTTCGCTAAGCAGGCTTTCCATTCAAACATCTGGTGCTTCAGCTGGCCTCAAATTCTCAAAACAGGATGGCAGATACTTTAGTGAGGAGAAAAATAAGGAATGAAAAAGTGCGAGGCCCCCTCAAAACAAACGAACCGTCAAGCCCGTATCAATATGGTACAGGCATCCATCCGCCTCCCTGAGCCAGTTTCTTTGGTAAGACCCAAGAGATGAGAAGCTTGTCAAGCCTCCTGAGGACCTACCCGCCTGCATCCATTCCCCCAAAAGCAATCTGCCCTCGAACAGCAGAGCCAGGCGAACTCTGACCCTATCAGCACCACAGGGCAGAGGCGAGAGGAAAAACAGAGCAGCGACCGCAGGCAGGCGCTGGGCTTCGAGAGGCTGGGAAAACCCAAGGTGCCCAAACTTAAAACGTGTCATTAGAAACTACTCGACTTTTTTTTTTAATTTTTAATGCAGGAAAAAGGAAGGAGTGCCTCACGATCCAGACGGGAATGCGAGTGCTGAGTCATCACTCTTCCGAAGGCAAGGAACTCCAGCGAGCGGCTGGGAGGTGAAACTCATTCATTAGGTTGGGCTGCAGGTAAGAAAGCCACAGCGAGCTGGGAGGAGGAGCGTTGCAAGGACACACAACGAGTGGTGGATAAAATGCATCATTTTTTTTTTTTTATCCAACCCTGAGGGTCTGGACAGAGAAGCAGGGGGAGCACCCACAGGACAAAAGCAGCCGGCCAGCTGGCTGGCTGTCAGCGGAGCGCAGGGAGCGCGCAGAGTAAACTTCGTGGTCCAAGGAGGGAGAGATGCTCCGGCGGCCGGGCGGCACCCCTCCCTCCGCGCTTCCCGAGTAGCGGGCGCCGGGCGGCCAGTTCCCGCCGCGGGCGCGGGGGCACGTGGGGCCGGGCGCGGGCAGGGGCTCGGCGCCCGGAGGGCCCGGCTTCCGCGGCGGGAGCCCCGCCGGGGAGCAGCCGGAGCCCGGGGCCCGGAGGGCGCGGGTGCCCATCCCTCCCGGCCCCACCCCCGGTCCCACCCCCGCCAGGCCCGGCCCCCGCGGGGACAGACGGCGCCTGGCTCAGCCCCGGACCCTGGAGCGCGGGGAAGGCGGGCGCGCTGCCGGCCCCGCAGCCTCTGCGGAGCAGACGCCGGCCTGGGGAGGCGTGCGAAGGGGGGCGCGACAGAGAGATCGGAGCGGGCCCCGGGACCCGGGCCCCGGGCAGGGACCGGTGGGGGAAGGGAGGGCTTCCTTCCCGAGGAAAAGGGGACAAAACGAGGAATGCACTCCGCATCCGCGCCGCCCCGGCCAGGGCGCCGCCGGGAGCCTCCCGGCCTCGGCCCCGCGCTCCTGCGCTCCCTCCCGCGGCGCCCGGGCCTCGCGGCGCCTGGCACCCCCTCGTCTCGGGTACTCACAGAGTCCGGGGCTGCCCGTCGTCTTCCATCATGGTGGGTGCGACGGAGCGATCCCGGGACAAGGGGGAGGGCAGGGCCGGGGAGGGGAGGGGGCGGGGAGGAAGGGGAGGGGGGCTCCGGGCACCGGGTGGGGGCAAGGAAAGGACACCGACCCCTGCTCGCGGGCTCTCTCCCCCCAGCCCGCTCCGGACACGGCGCTCCAACCAGGAGGAGCAGGAGCAGGAGGAGGAGGAGGAGGAGGATGGACAAAATGGCCGCCGCCACCAGCCAGGCAGGAAACGGGGCAGGGCGCAGGCGCGGCCCGCCAGGTCACAGCTCCGGCCGGCCGCGGCGGCCTGCGGGAGGGATAACTAAGCCTGGAGGGAAACGGGCCGCCGCCGCCGCCGCCGCCGCCGCCGCGGAAACCGTGTGTCCGGTCACGAGGGAGCACGTCGTCGCGGTGCGCCCCCCTGGCCGGCCGGAGCCCGGCCAACTCGAGGAAAGAGTGAGAGGAGAACCGCCGCGAAACCGAAGTCTCTGGGAATTGTGGTCCTGGAAATGAGAGAGGGCAGCGCTTCAAAGCGCTTCTGGGAACTGTAGTCCACAGGAGACACGCGCTGGGACGCGAAGAGGAGACTTCTGGGTACGGTAGTACGCGAGGCCATGCGGCTACCAGGAAGTCGGGGTGCCGGGACCGGGTGGGGAGGAAAAAGGCGACGTAAAAAGGCTGGGAAACCCAGTGGGGGGGGGGGGGGGGGGAAAACGCCGTCCCACACATAAACTACAAGTCCCAGAGTGCCTCGCGCTCCAGGCATTTTAAGGCTCTTCTGTTGGCTCAGCCGGAGCCGCTCCTCCGCCTCCGTCGAGTCCAAGAGCGGTTTCTTCAACCGCGGCTCCGGCGGCGGCGCTCCGGCTCCGCATGGTGTCCGGGCCGGCGGGTCTTCCCGGCCCTGCGCTGGTCCGAACGGCGGGCCCGCGGACGCCAACCGCCGCCCCGCGCCCAGGGCCGGCGCAGCCCCGCAGGCCTGCGGGCGCGCTCCTCCGCAAGCAGGTATTCCCAGCCCAGGCAGCCCGCTTTGCAGAAGCTTTACCGGTTTTAAAGGTTTCCTTGATCTCCCTGGAGAAGGGTAAGGAGTGGTCCTGCATTGAAATGACTCCTTGAGTCGGCGCAAGGTGCATTGGCAATGCCCTCCACCCCTTTATTTACTTATTAGAGTGAAAAAAATAATCATCTCTGGGCGGAGGCGTGCCGGACCTAAGGCTGTGTGTACAGAGACCCGGCCTGTAGGCGCGGAACGGAGCCTTGATGGGCACGTGGGAAGCCACGTTCAAACCGGCGCTCGCCCTGTAGTCCCCCTTCCCCACACCCCCACCCCCACCCCACAGTACTCTCCCCACTACCTCCGCCGCGACCGTCTCTAGGAGGACGTTGTGGAGGTCATACCGCTCTGGAAGCTTATGAAGGATGGTGGCACCGAGGACCGTTTTCAGCCCCGAGCTCAGCGGGCCCGGTTAAACCGTGCCCGAGTTGGAGCGCGGGCCCGCGCTCCTACGGTTCTCGGGTTGGATTCCTGCCGCTTCGCTCCGGGACCCCCGGACAGCGTGCATGCCCGTCAGTGGATAAAAGGACGTTTTTTTTCTCTCCGCCTCCCTCTCTGAAAAGCAATGGGGGGAAATGTCCCCAGGTGAGGAGTAACGAATAAATAAAACAGTGCCTCGAGCGTTGGTTCTACCGAGGTACGGAGGGCCTGCCCTGCTAGCTGCTGTCTGCTGGTTCCACCCAATCCTAATCCCCAGGGGAGTCAGCTGCAGCTAAAGCGGCTAATGTCGGTATGAAGGGGGAGGGTGTGTTTCAACGTGGGCTGCTTCCAAGAGACCATGACTAGGGAGCTGAGCCCCATGGAGAGTCAGTGGGAACAGCAAAGGCCCACAGAGGCCAAGGCCGGGGCTGAACTGTTTGGTTTCCCCCCGCCCCACGGAAGAAATGACGGAAGGCAAGAATGCCCGCAGCACAGGTTGGACGCTTGTGTAAGAGAAGGGAGGAGGGTTTCTGAGGAATTGCCCCAGATTTGGGGCAGCCCTAAGAAAGCCTTGGCTAGGCCCCTGGGGAGCCCCGTGCAGAGACTGCCCCGTGAGGAGTCCCCGCAGACCTGGCCCTGCCCCAGGACCCTGCTCCCGCAGTCTCGCGGGAAGGCCGGTCCCTGCATGAAGGCTACACCGGATGTTAAGTTGCTGTCTTCTAACCTGGAGAAGACCTGGTTAAAATTATGTCCCACTAACTCCACACCTTGTAGCAGGTTCTCTTGCAGGAAGGTCTAGTGACCTTCGTGGTCACCAGAGTCACACACCAGAAGTTCGTACAGGCACAGCTTTGTTTCTGGGCCTTGTTTTATTCCACCGGCCAACCCCCCTGTGCCTGCACCAATGCAAAACTTCCACTTCCTAAGTTCAAATCCTGGCAGGTTAGTCTCCACCTTCCTGCGCTTTAGAGTGTCCTGGCTGTTCTTGGTCCTTGACTCGTCTGTATGGATGAAGCAGAGAAGTATACCAGATGTGTATTGTAGCAGGTAATGCAAGCAGTTGTATGGATTATTATAGGAATGCATGATTTCAGCCTGAGAGAGTTCGTGACATAATTTTAATAACCCAAGCAAGAAGAGCAAAAGAAAAAAGAGCCCGGCTGGTGTGGCTCAGTGGTTGAGGATCGAGCTATGAACCAGGAGGTCACAGTTTGATTCCCAGTCAGGACACAAGCCTAGGTTGTGGGCTCGATTCTCAGTAGGAGGCGTGCAGGTGGCAGCGGATCAATGATTCATCATTGGCGTATCTCTTCCTCTCTGAAATCAATAAGAATATATTTAAAAGGGGGGGGAAAAAAAACACAAAAAAGAATAGTCCAGCAAGAGATACAGATTGAGTGGATTTTAGCCAGTAGCAATAGGAAAAGACAAAGTTATGGATTCAAGATAACTAGTGTAAATTCTGCTTTCCTAAGTGGACCCGATTGATACAGTATTATTATATCCATTTTACAGATGAGAAGACTGAGGCTCAGGAGATTGAAATGCTCACTGCTAATAAGGGCCTAGGCTGACTCCAGAGCCCTGTCTGTACTTCATATTAACATTATTAATCTATAGCAATAGGTGATTGTACTGTATAATCAGCAGCGTGTTGTAGATTATGATGATGATTACTTGATGTCACCTCTATAGGAAGGGTTCTGTTTAACATTCTGAAGGCCCAGCCAGTGAGCCAGCAGAGGGAGCTCTGTCCCTAAGGACCAGGACAGCCGCTCTCACTGGCTCTGTGGCTGAGTGTCAGCCTATAAACCAGGAGGTCACAGATTCCCGTGGGAGGGGAGGGAGGCTCGATTCCCAGTTCGGGACGTGCAGGGGGCACCCAATCAGTGATTCATCATTAACTGATGTTTCTCTCTCCCTCTCTGAAATTAAAAAAAATAAAAGGACTGGGCGAGTCTTTAGCCCTTCGTCACAGGAGACTGTAGGCTCCTGAGCCGAAGGGAAAGGAAGCAGTTAGCATTAAGCCCCACAGATTGCATCTGTTTAAATCACATGTGTCAAACACGTGGCCCGCACCGCGCTGTCATCACTGCACTCCGCTGTGTTTCCATCACAATGACAGTTTATGACTGTTCAGTAAACCATTCGGCCCGCGATTTAGGCTGGATTTTAGATTTTGGCCCCTTCTCTGATTGAGTTCGACACCCCTAGTTTAAATTATGGTAAGCTGGAGTTGCTCTGTTTGAAGAGGGTTCCCTCCAGGAAGAGGGATCCATGGTCCCTTCCTGCCCTCCTCCCACCTGAGCCGATTCCATCCTGATTTAACAGAAGCTTCTCTGGAGTGGGCCAGATTTGCCAGTGGACAGAGTCTCTGAGTAAAAGGGATCTCCGGGTAGGTATGGCTCTCTTTCCTATGAAATAGGATCAAGAATAAGGAAGGGCAGGCCTGCTCCCTGAACACTTAACCACCTTCTCCCTCCTCCCTTCCTCTTTGACCTGCACCAGCCCTGCACCTGGTTCTGAGGTTCCCTTGATCTTGACCTCTGGGTATATCCCTACTTTTCCTTTCATCACAGCCACAAAATCTGAGATGCAAGTATGAGCTCTGGGTTAGTAAATCTTAGACCTCAGAACCTGTAAACAGGTTTCATAGTTCAACCAATACCAGGAAAAGGGGTAGTGCCCAGCTACCTCCTCCTCGACTGGGGTTTGGAGTTACCTGGCATTGCCTCCTGTGCACATGCTCCTGCCGTGGAACTTGGTCTAGGTAGAAGTGACAGGCCAGAGGTAGAATCTGGCTGTTCTTGACTTCCCCTAGCCAAAATGCCACTTTAAAACATGTTGTCATGTGTAACACATACAAAAGAATATATAAGAATAATAAAAAGTGGAGTCCCAGGAGCCCGCGTTGTTATTCTACTCAGTGAGACAGGTGTCTGTCTGGCTGTGTCCTATGACCCCGATGGTACCAGACATTTGTCTCTGCTAGGTGAGTGCTCAATGAGTGGCGACCGGTTGATTGAAAATCCATGGAAAACCTTGATGTTCTGGAGCCTCTAGTGGGCTCTGGCCTACTGGAGAGGATTTAAAACTACCTGCTGTGGCTGCTGCCTCCACCACCATCATCTCTTGCATGGAAAACAGCCATCACCTTCTCTGTTCTCCTTCCTTTCGGTGCACTCTCCACAGAGAACTCAAGTGATCTTTTTGAAAAGATGGAAACAGACTACATCGTCGTTTGGCCTAGAGTCTGTGGCCTCCCATAGCAGTGAGAAGGAGATCCAGATCTGCTGTGGTCTCTACAACCACGCAAGTATGGGTCCCGTTGGGACAGTTTCTCCTGCTCTTCCTCACAGGGGATTGTCTCAGTTCACCAAACAGAGCCCTCCTCACCCACAGCCTCACCTTCGTTCTTCCTTTTGCCTAGAATGGTCTTCCTCACCTCTTCCTGGAGCTGGGCCCTTCTCATCTATCAAGTCTCAGCTCGTGAGTCCCCTCCCTAACCAAACGGAAAGTGGGGTCCCCGGTTACTCCCCATTTATCACTTTATCCCATGTGGGTGCAATCGCAAGCTGTTTCTTTTGCTTATGCCTGTCTGTCCCCCATCGAGAACCTTGCAGGACAGGGCCCCTGTCCACCCTCTTGTCCACCCTCTCTCCAGCTTCCACCACGGAGCCTGGTGCGTTCAGCAGACTTCACATGCCAGGTGCTATCTAACCAGGCCCCTGGGGCCGGAGCGGACTCCTGCCAGACATTCCAGGGAAACCCAGAGCTCAGCAGAAGCAGGAGCTACAGCTCTGGCCCAACCCGG